ATATATATATATATATATATATATATATATAATGAAATATACGAACCTTTGGGTGTACGTAAGTAATAAATAAATCACGTACGGTAACTTTCGGTGAATTTTAGGATGACGTGGATGAACCGTATGAACATTGACTCATTAACAGTTTTACATACAGAGTCATCTATCATTGTGGAAACAGACAAAAAAAAAGGGAAGAGCAAGTACTAGGTTTATTCTGCAACTCGTTCCAACCCACTGTAGTATTTAAAATCCAAAACAGTAAATTAATCCATTTACTCTTTTACAATTGCATTTACTCGAAATTACTTTACACCTGCTGATATTTTTATTATTTATTTATTTACTTAATTACTTCTTTTAATTTGCAGAGGGAATAATAGGGATGGTCACAGATCGGATATCCATGATTTTTGAGATATCCGTATCTGTATCCGTATCTGATCCGCACAAATACTCAATTTTATTATCCGTAATTTACGATATCCGTAAATATCGCCGATATTTGAGAATATCCGTATCCGACATAAAAATTATAAAAAATTAAATTTAAAGAAAAAAAATTTAAAATATAAAGAAAATATATAAGTTATTTAATATAAATGTTATTCATAATTTAAATATTTTAAATCAATTCAAATACAAATATAATCACAATCTATCATATATAAATATATTGAAAGTTCAAAATTCAAAAAATAAACATAATAAATTTTAATATTCAAAAGATTAAATATTCTAGACCTCAATATATAAAAAATATTTCTTATATATCCCTAAAAAATATGTAAGTATAAAGCATTTTAAATTTTATAGCAAATTATTTTTATATTTAATAATATTATTAATTAGTACGGATCGGATCGAATATGTCGGATAATTCGAATTTTATATCCGTATCCGATCCGTATATCCGATAAATATTTCAAAATAAATATTCGTATCCGATTTGTAAACTCAGGATATCCGAATTTTCGGTTCGGATAACGGATCGATTCGGTTTTTTCGGATATTATATCCACTTCTACGAAAGAGGGCAACATCAGTCATTGGACACGATCGGCACTTAGTTATGTCCCCTTCAGAATGTGGCTGCCCCATTTACATTCAATCGAATTAACTAGATCGAACCGAACGGTTCACCCACCTCTAATTAAACCAATAACCATGGACTACCAACCGATGGAAATTCTATAATGTGAATCATCTTACGTTTTGATTTCCCAAACAGTCTTTCCAATCCACGTTAACACTCATACATACACACGCGCATATATGTATATATGTGTATATATATGTGATATATGTAATAGTAAAGCATGAATGAACTAATATATTCGGGAGGACCATTATACTTATCATCTTAGAGTCTAATCAAATGTTAAGTCGTTCGAGGGAGAAAGAAAACTAAAATGGAACTTAGACTTCAAGAAAGCCATCATTATTTAAATAAAAAAAAAAATCACAACACATGCATGCGCATGATACTCCTTCTCCTCCGATATTGCATGTGCAAAAGCGAGAAAAGTCATGATTGCTTTGAAAAGTAGTACGTATATGCATATACAGATATACTCTTTTCTTATATTGAATTATTGATCTAAGCAATGCACATGGTGGCATTGATCTCGCCAACCCAAAATTTCCAAAAAAAAAAATAAAATAACAAAAATAAAACGAGAGACAAAACTAGAAGGCCACAATGAAAATTTGGCATTATCCTATAGTTGTGTCCGGTCTGCTCTCTGTCCTTAATATTAACTGCTTAGAGCTTTGACTTTTTTTTTTCATTATTAATTGTTTACATGTATCACATATTGTTGTATGGCCTTAATTTTCTATCACATCCATTAAAATAGTAGTCTTTTTTATTTGTCCATATATGTTGACCAAAGTAAACACACGCAAGATTTCATTTTGATTTCCCCCCCAAATTTAAACAACTATAATAACCAATAAATCCCATATGAAAAACAAAACAAACATCAAAAGCAATCGGATAATGAGTTCAAACTTGGCCTCCACTCAAAAGCAATATGGAAGAAGAAGGTTTTTTCTTTCTTTCTTTTTCTCCTTTTTATTTTTTGCATAATTTGTAAAGGGAATGCATGAAAAAAAAATTGGCCACAAAGAAACAAAACAAAATGAAAAAAAAAAGAGGAGCCTATACAAATAACAAATGCATGCCTATAGATTCTAGTCACATCGAGAGGCAATTGGACGAGTCATTTTGGTCCCCAATTGGTCCTGCGTCCATTGGATTGATGGGCAAGTTTATTCTCTCTCTTTTTTCAATTTGAATTTGCCGTCTAAATCGAAGTACAAATTCGTATACTTGGGCCGTATAAATAGGATAACCCATTTGTATCATCAAATATTGTTATTGATGGAAGCGTTAACAACTATATATATAGACCTAAATGTCCTCATTATTTGGAATTTCTATAACAATGTCAATTTATCTATAATGATAACCTAGAGGGCACCTAGTTGATTTTTAAAAAAAAAACTTAAATAATTTATATGTTCTGTTGAGTGTAAAATCCGAGCATATTGTTGTTGAAAAACCACAATGAGAAAATGACGTTAATGTTGATAGAAGAGAATGGAAAGAGATGTACATGTGTGTAATCATAAATAAGCATTCAATTAATGATTTTTTAAATGTCAATTCACTTTGATGAATTACAGAATGTGGAGGTGGAGGTGGTAGTGCTGCTGAATGTCTAATTAATGGACCTACAATGTGAAGTTGATAGGCCTAAAAGGTTTTTTAAAAAATATCATGAGGGTTTTGTGATAGTGAGAGACTTCTCGGACCCTCTTTTCAAATCGGGGGATATGCTCCTTTGTTTTTATCCTCCATTACGCTACGCTAATGTTCGATTTGACCAAAACCACCCCCACGAAATCACATTTTATACACACATATACGTATGTGTAGGTGCATTAGTGGTATTCATACACCGCACGTGTAAATCGCGTGCCATCATTAATGGCTGTAATGGAAGTATATATCATTGCAATAAGAAAAGAAAAAAAAAATGTACAATTCAGCATTTGTTCGGTTGCAGTTGTAGAGAAAATTAGAAGCCGCCATTGTTTTTTTGACCGGAGAGATAGATAGGCATGAATATCTTTCATAAATTTGCAAGTAAAAGTTGCTTAAATATCAATCATTCCGTAATAGATATCACTAAAAACGATACCTTTTTTATTTTTATTTTATTATTAAACCGATGCGCCTATTTTCTTAATATACAAGGAAATGTAAATCCCAAACTAATTAAATTCTAAATTTAACTGAATGTTTGTGTGTGTGTGTATCTCTCAACTATTAATAAGATTTTATAAAAAAAAACTATTGATAAGATTACTTTAAATAGCGTCGCTATAAAATATAAAAATTACAAAAATGCATAACAATACCCAATAAAACTTTATCCCCCAATGTTTTGATGATAAATATATGCTAGCAAATAAATTGTCAAAAGATAACTTTGCATGGGTTGCTTCAATATCAATCATGGTATCTTTTATTTTTTTTGTCTTTTAAAATATAAGCACCGAGAACAGAGAATTTGTCTTCCAATTTCATTATATATATATATATATATATATATATATATATATATTAAAAATACACTTTCCGATGATAACCACTTAGCGAAAGGGCACACTATATATGTTCCGCAACTAAGGCGTAAAGAATATTTTGATATGGGGGAACCCGATCCAACATTCATTTCCCATTCCCCCCATCTCCTCTTGCTCTTCTCTTTTTGTATCTTCATCAACAAAAATAATAATTATTATTATCATATTCTAAAATATTCGAACTAATCAATACGTATTATGTCAAGTCAATTTTATTTCGTTCAAAAAAGTAATCTTATTTTGATTTTAGTTCCCAAATATCAGAGCAAAACTATATATGATCTTTGCTTTTGATCGCCCTTTTCATCTATCTATCCATCTTTCCTTTTTTCTTGGAATATTTTTCATATATGTTTATCTATGCACTGTATTTTCTATTATTAGGGAACTAGCAAGCAGACCATCTCAAATTCAGAACCGAAATCCAACATTTTTGTCAAGCAACTTTTTTTTAGATTATTTGTCAAGCAAATACATGGTTTAATAATTAATTTTCAAATTTAGAACCGAAATCCAATTTGATTTGGAGACACCTGAGAACTTTTCCATGCATTGTGCAAACGACATGGGAAACAGAGCTTAGAACCTAATCCCATATTTACAATCTCTTTATCTTTTCCTTTTCCGTGTATCAATCGCTTTTCATTTTTAGAATATCTTCTTTTTCCCCCTCCGGTTATACGCGCGCGCGCACACACACACACATATAAACTAAAAATCAACATAAATATTATGTGGAACAGTTTTTGTTTCCGAGTTTTTTTAATGTTTTCAAACTGGAATAACTCTATATGATATCCACTTTAAGATGTTTTTATTCTGCCAAAAAAAAAGTACTTCTAGTGTTATTAAAATATGACGATTCCGTCGTAAGGAATTAAAATTTTTTTTTTGTAGCCTCACGGCCATTAGATATTTGCCTATTTGAAACAGACAGAGAGATCCAAGTTCGCTGCAAAAACCCTACAAGGTTAGGGCACTCGACCATTTAGTTTTCATTTAAGTCATAATTTTGCTATTTATGACTAATTGAGAAAAATGACAAACCCATAAAATTTAGAAGTAAATGCAACCACACCATATGGTTATGATACGAACATTCTTGCTTCTCAATATCATGCATGTATATAGAGTAGTTTTGCCTAAAGAAATCTCCATAAATATCATGGATTGTTTTAATCACACTAGTTTTTCGTTTGAGGGCTTAATTGTTAGGTCTGTAAAAAGCTAATGAGAAGTCAAGAGTTTCCTTTGTGCATACGCATGGACTTGGTAACACGTTTAAAAAAAAAAACTAAACGGACCACGTATCTTTGAAGGGCTAGATGAGGGGCAAGGTGAGGGCAACCATCATTGTTCTCAAAGGACCACTGCCCTGTTGCCCTCTGCCTTTGTCCTATGAGATCCACCACAAAGATTTCTCTTTACCTTTATTTCATCCTCTTCTCTCTCTCTTTTTTTTTGCTTCTCACCAGTTTTCCCTTATAACCTTAGTTTTTTTTTCTTCTTGAAGTGAAATCATCGTTCTTCATTGTAAATTGAATCTAAAAAAACCAAGAAAAGGTAGACAAAGAACTACTTTATTAATACTCAACAAGACACTAACAGGTTCTACTAGCTAGCCTTCTAGATGGGGAAAAAGCAAGGTTACGACTTTAGGTTCATAATATAAGACATTCTCCCCAGGTTATGGTTTAAAATCTTGTCTGAAACCCAAATGCCGTATTCCATACCAGCATAAAAATCGATGCTACATGGTCCTAAAATAATTGATTAGCTAGCATATGCGACAAACTCAGCTGGGCTGAATGTAAAAAATTCACTTGCACAAGATCAATCTAGTATTGGAAATAACAAAGAAACCTAACGGAAAGGATCTTTAGAACGAAAGAATCTAAGAAACATCATTTTTGTCACGATTACTAACTATACCTTTGTACGTGTGGTTGCAAGAAAAAGGAGGGCTAAAAAACGCTTAAACCGCTTTTAATCCGCAGCTAAACACATGTACAACAAATAAAGGAGATGTGTGAATGATTTCAACTTTATAACAAAAGTCTCCCAAATTGTAGGACTGTCACGAGGGGTTCATTATGTTTTGACCCTACCCATCCATCTTTAACTACATAAACCTAATCCCGTGATGCGTATAACCTACCAATATTTGTGAATACCGTTGAATCTAACCCCGTTTTTAACCTAATTTTTAAAAGAAAACCAGAAAAGCTATGTACGGCAGAAGACATAATTTTGGAATCTAATCTAACTAATAAATTAGTTATAATTGATTAGTATGTCATGAATAATTCCTAATTTGTCTTGTACAAACCACAAACCAGCAGCAACCTAGATACATACGATTTCTCCTCCCCTTTAAAGTCGCCTGGAGGTTAGGACCACATAAAGAATCCTACAAACAGTTATTTGCCAACCTTCCATGGGAGCTCATAACAAAGGTTTTTTTAACAGAAAAAAAAAAACAACAACGATTTTATTTATTGAGAAAAATAAGCATGATGTTGGAAAATTTTAGATAGTTACAAGCTATACGGCTTCAAGTCTTGATTAACATACATACCGTCTATCCTGACATGTTGGAGTTCATAAAGACTAAAAAAAACTAGATGAGCTTCCATCTTTCTAAACTTTCAGAATCTCATTCAGATCTTTTTTTTAATTATTATTTCCTAGCAAAGATAAACAAAGAACCCCTACCCAGAGGCCATAGCCGAGTGATGAAGGTGGTTAAAAAGGATGAGGTACCCTTGTTTCATATCCCATGTTTGAGCCACGGGTTGGGTACGGAGATCCGCATTTGCGGTACACATATTGCCTCCGGATTTTGGAAGATATTGTCGGGCCGAAAGTCCGAGAAACTTCCGAGTTAATATTTAAAAAAAAAACTCTTTGAAAGTGGATTCTTTTTCTTGTCTACAACTTCTTTTTAGGTGAGACCCTCTTTTTTTTTGTAGAGGAGACCCTCTATTATTCTTAAAAGTTTTTGAAAACCCGAGACAGAATTATATTATTGTGTTCTCTTATATTGGTGTATCTTATTTTAATATGTAATATCTGATTCAGGTGAAATTTTGAACAGTTCTATTTTTTTTGTCTATTCATTTCCCTCTCCTAAGCTGTTTATTTATTTTATGTATTTATTTTACTACCTTTTGAAAAGTTTTTTTTTCCTCTTCTATAGGGGAAAGAAAAAGTTCCAAAAGAGGTGGACAGAGGAGAGAGAGGGTGAGATATCGGAGGCCATAATAAGCCTAACTTTTTAAACTCACGTGACATCTCCCGTAATATGCAGACAATACATGAAACCAAACCGCGTTTGTCGACCGCCTTCTCAAGCTGTTCGTTGAACTTAATTGATTATCCACAATTCTCTACACATTTCTGCTATATTTTCATTTCATAGTGTACAATATTTCATTTTCTTAATCACATGGGAAAGAGAATAAAACCCCCCACACGAATATTCCTCTTCCTAAACATATAGATTAAAAACCCATGGATGTTAACCACCATGGTCAGTCCCATAATCACGATTTGATCATGATAGGCGTCACAAGTAAGAGACCAAAAAGGAAACGGAAAGACTTAAATGTGTAATAGTTGACATGTCGTGTGAGGGGTAGGATAAAACAAACAAGAAATTTCTCTAACCAAGACTTAATTCTTATCAGGTTGTCTACATTTTCTGAAAACTACTAAGAAAAAAAAAGGAAGACAATCCTGAATTTACTTGTAACAGCAAATTTTTATTTCAGATGTAAAATAATAACGACTTAAATTAAATTTAAACCATTAATTGCCTACAAAATCAAAGTTTAAGCAGTTAACTAACGGTAAGACTGCAAGCGGGTCACTACCGTCACTTAAATATTTTTAACGATTTGCCCGTCCATTCTATAGAGGATTCCTGTTATGTGAAGTTGTGAATTGAATTTGAGCTTTTCAATTTCTGTTCCTCACATCTCCTAGCTTGATTACTCCTTTTGGGAAAGAAATGGTAATGGTATTTTCCCTAGTGATCTAGTTTGTCTACTGATTATTCTGTTAGGTAATCCAAATTTAATAACCACTCATTTCATATTACACTTGAGTCATCAATTCAGCATAATAGTACAAATACAATGATAATGGTTAGAGTTCAGCTGAAAAAGATCCACAATCAACCCTCTGATTCCTATTATCTCCAGAAGGTTTTATGAATTCAAATTCTACAATCGGGAATTTGTTTATGTGAATAGATGAGTTTTTAATAATAATAAAAAGTTTTCCTTTTAGGCGAAATAAAATTTGAGTTTGAAAATTTTGGTGAGAATTATATTCTACCGGTCTATATCCCACAAACGAGAGATGGATAGACATAACTACAAAAGATTCGTGATGTACGATCACGAACGAATGTTTTATGTTAACCATATGATTACCCCAAGGATCATGACTACTTTATTCCTCGCTATTTTGGTTTTCTAGTTTTATATTTTTTTTGTAAAACAGGGTCGTTTTATTATTGTCCCTTACTGTTTAATTAAATCTTTTTGTGTTTTCATATCATGTCGGATCCTCTAGATTCGGGAATTACGCGTAAAAATGAGGACTAAATCAGAAAGCTAAACATGGAACAGTCAAGAGCACTCAAAACTAAAACGAAAAAAAAATAAATATCGAAGATGGTATACTAATTAAAAAAAAATTAAAGAGTCTAAAAGTTTATCCGAACACTAACCTGTTGAGAGAAGAGTCACCAAAATCACCAGAGGGTCCACTGGTCGAAGGAAACGGCATCTCGAAGTGTCACCACATAGAATAGAACCAACCGCGTGCCTTCGCTAACTGTAACAAGTCAAAACCAAATCGAATCAGTGAGAGACGTAACGCGTGTGTGCCCGAACGAGACAAGCATCCAAGAGACAATATAAATGGCGGGAATGAGGAGGTTTCAGTTTCAGACATTCATAGTTAGAGGCTCCGTTTTTGCACCAAAAACTACTACTACTGAAACCTCCTCTGGTTCTCGGGGAGGGGAAGAGGGGAGAGAGAAAAAGCTGTGGAATCTGACATGGAGAGCTGCTCTTGCTCCACGTGGCATCCGTAACTAAGCAGCAAAGCTCCATTCGCTCTGGTAAGAATACTTAAAAGCGTTAACCATTTCCAAAATGGAAGCTATATTCAAATATTGATCAAGAAGTTTTTTTTTCTCAAAAGAAAATTTTAAGTAGTGTTTGAAATGCATACCGTATACTAATGATTGGTTTTTAAGACGGAATAAAAAGGAAAAAGATCCTTAAGGAATACTAAAAAAAATTATCCTCTGGCCCTTGAAAAATATTCTGTCAAAGGCCATCTTTTCTTTCTTTTGCACTTGGTCCATTTCCGGATTCCTGAAATGAAAACACCAAAATTTTCATGTCCAATTCTGTCCTTCCATTAACACAAACACACACACAACAAACACACCTCTTTTGTCTGTGCGTATGCCTATATATCATTCCCACCTTCGAATGGTGAGAAAATGGATCTCCCACCACCATCACCATCTCATCGAGTAGAAACCCCATTACCAGATTGCATCCTCTCTCTCTCTCTCTCTCTCTCTCTCTGGTTCAAAACTTTCACTACCTGCTAAAGGAAAAAAGAAAAAGAAAGTCTGGCATTGCTGCAAAAGCTTATTGTCTTCCACTTACCGCCATCTCCTTCTCCCTGTATAACGCGGATCGTTCCACATTTTTCTCACCTCTTATTCACCTGTTGTGGTTCTCTCAGGGTAGAAAAAGAGTACCACCCTTAACCATTCTTCTTTTTCCTTTTTTTTTTTACCTTGTGGGTTTGGGGTGTTAATGGCGCACTTGTGAAAGGCCTTAAACCTCCCTCTGTAACATTCATTTTTGTCAGAAGAGGAAAAACAATGGGTCAGTGCAAGTTGGTATAAAAGTCACAACAGAAACGAGGGAAAAATAAAGGAGAACGTTAGCCCCTGTCACTTGTCACAACCTTCATCACCATTTATAACTACCTTGCTAAAGGAGCCTTACCCTGCAGGAAAAAAAAAAACTCTTTTTTTACAGATTCTCTTTTGTAGAGATTGAAGCATCGGAAAAAGATGTCCATCTCTTGCCCCAGAAATTTCTTTGAGAGGTTCTGCGTCGAGGATTACCCAATGGACACGATCAAACACAGCAGTTTCCTCTCTGCCGATCTTTTGCCGTCACTTGGAGCCAGAATAAACCACTCCACCAAGCTTCGTAAACATATAATCTCTCCTTTTGATCCACGTTATAGGTGAGATTATCCATAAATTCTTTCATGTACTTACGTTGATGAGTTCTGTTCCAGTCCTCTGCTTGACTGCCGCTTGGGTTTTTGATTCAGGGCATGGGAGATGTGGCTGGTCATTCTGGTCATTTACTCGGCGTTGATCTGTCCCTTTGAATTTGCCTTCATCACCTACAAAAATGACGCACTTTCTATAATAGACAACATCGTCAACGGCTTCTTTGCCATCGATATCGTTCTCACCTTCTTTGTGGCATATCTCGACAGCCACTCTTATCTTCTAGTTGACAGTCCTAAGAAAATAGCTATAAGGTGAGGAAAAAAAACTCTGAATCCCTGGTTCAGGTTTATGTTTAAAAGTGAAGAATACCCATAGTATGTAAGCCCTTTCGGAAAGTATAGTTAACATATAATATCTGGACATGCAACATTCAGGTACCTCTCTACGTGGTTTGCCTTTGATGTGTGTTCAACAGCGCCCTTCCAGTCACTGAGTCTGCTGTTCAACTACAATGGAAGCGAACTAGGATTCAGAGTTCTTAGCATGCTCAGGCTCTGGCGTCTAAGACGAGTTAGCTCGCTGTTCGCAAGGTTCATATCAATGCTAAAATATGCATAAACCATTTTATTCCCAAGTTTAGGGAAGCGACCTTGGAAGATGGATGTAGTACTTATTCTCCTGCTTTTCTCTTTCCTTAAGGCTTGAGAAAGATATCCGTTTCAACTATTTCTGGACACGATGTACAAAACTCATTTCAGTAAGTGCTAAACTTAATAGTACCCACATGCATTTCATCGATAGAGCTGATAACTGACTGGTTGGGGAATTTTACTTGTTCTTGTCAATCTCAGGTTACCCTGTTTGCAGTACATTGTGCCGGATGCTTCAACTACCTAATTGCAGATAGATATCCTGACCCAACAAAAACATGGATTGGTTCAGTATACCCAAAGTTCAAGGAGGCTAGTGTCTGGGACAGATATGTGACTGCTCTTTACTGGTCAATTACGACATTAACAACCACGGGATATGGAGACTTGCATGCCAATAATCCAAGGGAAATGTTGTTTGACATCTTCTACATGCTGTTCAACTTGGGTTTGACCTCTTACCTGATCGGGAATATGACCAACCTCGTGGTTCACTGGACTAGCCGCACCAGAAGTTTTGTAAGTCTGACCACTTCCTTTTGACCTCCTACAATCCCCCTACAACTCAACATGCTAAAAAGTTAGATACAGGGTCTTATAGGTGAAAATCAAACCAATATTCTGATCAAACATTTTATGCTATATGCATGCCTAACCCAAAATGACTGATTCATGAACTAAAATACCTCAGGTTACATAATTGAAAAGATATATTTACCCTTCAAACTTTAACTATGACAATATTTCACCCGATCTGCTGAACTAGGAAAACTGAACCATTTCTATTCAAACAGAGGGATACAATCAGAGCTGCTTCAGAGTTTGCATCACGAAACCAACTCCCACCTCACATCCAAGACCAGATGTTATCGCATATTTGCTTAAAGTTCAAAACAGAAGGTCTGAAACAGCAGGAAACCTTGAACGGTTTGCCAAAAGCCATCCGGACAAGCATTGCAAACTATCTCTTCTTCCCCATTGTTCAGAATGTGTACCTTTTTCAAGGAGTCTCTCGTGACTTCCTCTTGCAATTGGTACTGTCTCATCTGCAACTTTGATTAACATTACTTTCTCTACATTCTGTTCTCTGTTTTGCGCACTGTTTTCCCCTATCCTTGTAGCTCTTACAGGGCATAGGGCATGAAAACATAAGGTTGACAACTGCATGTACTTTTTCCATTCAAGGTTTCAGATGTAGAAGCCGAGTATTTCCCACCCAAAGAAGATGTAATCCTACAGAATGAAGCTCCAACGGAAGTATACATACTGGTCTCCGGGGCAGTGGTAAGTGAGCTTACTTGGACTTCGATAACTGCACAGCAATACTGGAAGCATTTCCTAACAATTTACGCTAATTGGGGTAAACATGCAGGAGTTCATCTCCTGTGTTGATGGGCAAGATCAGGTAGGGCATGAAAATATTTCAGTAAAACATGTTCTGTATATGCTCCAGCACTGTCACTGAAAGCAACAAGAGTAACCACGCCCCTTACATGATACAGGTTCATGGTAAAGCAATCGCTGGAGATACCTTTGGAGAGATTGGCGTTTTATGCTACATGCCACAACCTTTCACTGTTAAGACGACTGAACTTTCTCAATTACTACGGGTGAGCAGAACATCTCTGATGAACACCATGCAAGCACATATTGAAGATGGGCGTGTTATCATGAACAATCTCTGCATGGTAAGTGAGATACCAAATACTTGAACTTGGTATGTTTCTGATGTTTTCCACCCTTATAGTTAAACAAATCAACTCGTGTCACACCAACACATGCAGAAACTTAGAGGGCAACAGTCAATAACAATTGGTGATACAAACAATGGTCCAAATATTGGAGAAGGGCATCCTAGCGACCAAGATTGCAGACAAAAATGTTCATCAGTGCATGATTTGGAAAATATGAATTCCCAAGGAATGGCATCGACAAAGTGGAGCAATTCAAGAAAAGGTGACTATAGTACCAGTTGCACAGAGGTTACATGGTTAACACCGGAAAGTAGAGAAACAGCTCTTATGGCCGCCATACACAAGGGGGATATTGAAATAGTCCAGAAGCTACTTGAACGAGGGGTTAGTATAGACAAACCAGATTCTAGAGGCTGGACACCAAAAGCTCTTGCAGAGCAACAAGAAAATAAGAGCATATATGACCTCTTATTGAGTTATGAACTAAAGAGTGCAGAAGAACATAGGATACAGATAGCACAACCCGGTAAAGCAACCATGTTAGTGAATGGAACAAGTAGCAGCGAAGATTTGGATTCTACCTCTTACGGTTTTTGTTCGCAAAAATCCGACTCACATTGCATCTCCAGCATCCCAGTCAAGACCAGTAAACAAGCAGCAGCTAAACCAAAAAATAGGAGGGTTACTATCCACATGCAGTCGCAGATAAACAGTTTATCACAAAGGCAGAGCAGAAAGTTGATACTTCTACCTGAATCCATGGAAGAGCTGCTAAAACTTGCCGGTAAGTTCTATTACTTCATTGGTAGCATACAACAACAACAACAACATCGATTGATGTTGTTGGTAGCATAGAAATGGTAAAATAATCATTTTCCCATATCCTAAACAGACTTCTCAATGTGGAATTTTGGCAATTACGCAGGTGAAAAATTTGCAGGGCACAGCTTCACAAAGATCACCAATGGCGAAAACTCCGAAATAGATGACATAGATGTCATTCGAGATGGTGATCATTTGTTCTTCCACCAAAACGAATTTGAAGGTACAGATTGCAAGTTTGCAACTTGACTTGACCTGCCATAATTAGTTCGCCGATTGATGCATGTACATCCGCAGGCAATGTATTCATCTTGTTCCACTGAAACCAGAGAAAACTAGATCATCAATAGCAGAGTCTAGAAAATCTGAATAACGCAGAATGATATTTAAAAAAGAAAATCAATGAAACATATCGCTCAAACCGGCTTCCCAGTATGATCGCATTTCCGAGAGTCTACTTTTGTAGAATTTAGATTTCTATTATCTCACCTATTTGCTCGTTCCTAAGCAGTTCCACGAGTTTGTATTTACCAGAAACCAATTTTATAATATACACTGCGTACGTGATGAAATTTTCATACAGATCCAGTTAAAAATCCTTTAGGGTTCAATTAGTTCGAAACAGAGGAACAGAGTCAAAATGAAATTATGATACTCTGCAATTTTCATCGGCCGATCGAGAAATCGTACGGGAAATTCAAATTTCAAATGAAATTATGGTACTCTGCAATTTCCATCGACCGATCGAGAAACCTAATCGCAAGATCTCATCAAATAGTAAATCAGTATCCGAATCGCTCACCAAACAATTTACAGATACAACGTCGCTTCTTCTACGGTATGATTTGCTCCATCTGCAATCATCTCCCAGCGCTTGGTGTAAGAAACGGATTCTTTGAAATTCTCGAAAGATTTTGATGGAAATTTCAACAGGAAGCTGCGGCAGAATTCTTTTGAGAAGCTAATCAGATACTTTGGGTTCCCGCCTTTTTCGGGAGAGTAATCGTGCCGATCCTGAAAAATAAAATTCGCCTGGATCGTTTGAAACCAAAGAAAGCAGAATCCATATATAGGTGGCGGTGCCCAGTCGGGGCTCAGAATGCACTTTATTGGGTTTTATCACAAAGGATGGATCTGGGCCTTATGTGGGCTTTGGGGTAAAGGAGTTGAAAATAATATTTTGAATCCTCAGAAAATTAGCCGTTGCAAAATTTTCGATGTCGAAAAACATTACAAATAAATTATCCGAACTTTTATGAGTATATTATTATTATTCATATTTAATTTTGACTGTACAGATATATACGATTACACATGTGGCCGTACAGATATATACCAAATGTTTTTGTACCACCAGATCAACTACACCAGATCAACTATTGTTCAAGTGTTGGGTTCGATTCCATTGGTGAAAATAAGTGATATAATTTGTAGATTAAAAATAATACATAGACAAAAACTGGTTTCGGATCTAGAGTGGATATAGTCGGGACGAAGATCTAGAAAACCATCCTGATTTAGTGGTAGATCTAGACATATATATTAATGGGGGCAAAATTATTTTTGTGATGAACAAATATAAATTTATGGGGGCATTTCATGATTTTATATAAATTTTTATAAAATTTGTATAGAAAATTAAAGCTTTTAATTAGTTGAATGGGGTCATATCATATTGTTGTATGTAGATCCGCTACTTTCTGATTATCAAAAAAAAATTATAGATCGAAATTTGAATGGAACATAGATACATATATCAAAGAAAAATAAATAAATCAATAATTTTCGAATAAAAGAAAATCAAAACAGTGGGATTTTCCATTTTCAACCCCACATCTCCGTGAGATAGTCCCTGCAGCTGCTGCTATTGAGAGACCAAGACTTGAGGTCTGCCCATCTTCTTGTCTTCGTCCGAGGTTTTGCCCTTGTGGCATGATAGTAATAACCTCGCTCTGCTTGCTCCGCGGTCTCAATCTTCTTCAGGTTATGTCTGTATTCAACGGCAACTTGTTCAAACACTTCAACCTCGAACATGTTCATCGTCACCTTAGGGTTCATGTGATCTCTCACAAACGCAAACGCCAATTGGTCCCTCGGGTTGAACGCTTCCAACTCGTTGAACACTAGGCATGAGAATAAGTTGCTCCTCAGTCCATGCCGCCTCAGTATCAACGCACTGTCCGGTACATCTGTTTTCATGCACATGCACAATTAATATATGCAAAAAGATAGCAACATCACATGGTTTGGACATTCATATGAATATATATGCACAGTACAATCATACATATGCAATCAGGCGTATACATGTACGTATGTCAGGTGTGATTAACCTATTAATTGTCCTTTCTCGACAAATCTATAGCAGTTGATAGGAAGAACAAAAATTTAATGATTACTCGTGACGTGTAATTAAAAAGCGGCAGTAAAGGAACCAAACCTAACTAAAGCAAATCTTCATGAACAAGACATGATTCATTTTACGCAAAGTCATGGATATAGCAAAATTCTAGACAAAAGAAAAAGCACCAAAAGTTATAATTACCAAAAAAATATAACGTGTATATATATACACACCAACCAAATAAATAACTATATATTCTAATGCATCTTCTAACGTTAAAAAAAAAAAGTTGTCCCCTTTTATACCAACCAAGCTATAAACATTTATATAACTATATATTCTAATGCGTTCTAAAACCTACTAAGTAGTGATTAGAAAAACACTACTATGTCTACGTGGCAGAAAATAAATAAGTTTTACCACTAATAATACTAAATTAAAGCGGTGGCCATGACTGGGATTAGGACTTGGACGAAGAATCCTTGTGGACAACAACGTGCTTTCAAATTGAAAACCAGTTGTAAGATTCTCCGTAATCTTGATGCAACAACCGGTAAATGCAACGACCGATGTTGTTAATAACCTTACCTACTTCCTTATCCCATTTACTAGTTAGATGCAAATCATCAACAACCTTAGGAACATAAGAGAAAATAAAAACAAAATTGTTTGTAATAATGGAAAAAGAATTAGAGAGAGTTTTTATTTACTAGTTACCTGTGGGATAAGGCAGCTTCTTAGGACTCCAAGGCATGAAACCAAACTCACAATAACTCTCCATTTGCCTTACCAACCCATCAACGTCTTCCCATTTCTTCCACCTCGCAGTGGCCATCGCTTCTTCCATCGTGTTCACGAAAAACGGGTGCTTAGATATCGCCATATCGACCTCGGGCACCACCACTAGTGAATGTATCAACAGCAATGGATCGACCGTCAGCTGTACTTTGGCGTCTATCCATACGCTGAATCTCGAGTTTGGAAACATTCTATGGATCAAATACTTTGGTATTACCCCGTTCATGGCCGGGTTTGCGTACAAACCCTCGGATTTCTCGAGTTTAACGATTCTCCACACCCCGATTCGATAGTTTCCGGTATAGTTCATGGGGATGAGATTGTGACGGGAGAGAGAATTTAGGGTTTTGTCATCGATGAACATGCAGAAACATACGGTTCCTAGAGTTTTGACTCCGAGTCCGACGGGCTGTCTGATCTTGTCGTGGTCGTTGAAGATGGCTGATGCAACAACTATGGTACATGTCTCCATTTCGGCTCTATCTGTGGAAATAGAAACAAAAAACAGGATTATATAATTTTTTTATACATTTTTTCATTATTTTATCGAATATATAAACTCGTAATCACGGAGACTTAGAAGCAGATATCATGTCGAGTAGACAAAATGATAAATATGATTGTGAAAGATCATATATTTGTATAATATAATTATCAAAAAAAAATGTTTGTATAATATAATGTTCCTATACCCGGTATGGACCGAAATATAACAAAGAACCAAATAAAAATACAAACAAAACGCCGAACAAGTTGTATAAAAGCATATATATTCTTGAGAATGTTAAATTTTTTATCCAAATAATTTTTCTACAAAAAAAAGTTTTTTTTTTGTTTTTAAAAGACGTTTTGAAATGGATTTTATAATGTTTTGTCCGATTCATCCGAATTCTACAGTAGAACCGGTTAGCGGTTAGACCGGCTACATCAACAGAATCAGTTTTGAGGTATTTTGTAATTATTTTATTTTACGAATTCTTCTCCGCCAATTGCTCACCGGAATCACTTATGGGCAAATCTCTGAAGAAGCCGCATGGAACGTCGACGTCATTATTTGAATGATGGAAATAAGAAAACCTCTTCTGGGCTTTGAAATTTCCTCCAAAGTTGTCATCTTTTCCCTTCATGTATCTCAGTTCCTCCTCCGACGATGTTGAACTTCTGCCGATACTCTGCATCTCCTTCAACACTGTCCAGTAATCTGATTCACGCAAGGCCAAAAACAAAAGGGTTAAATAAATATTCGAAAGTCATTATCATGAAAACCGTGACACTGATGAGACAGACGTATCCAGAAAGATTTGGTAGAAAAAGAAAAGATTCAAGTTTCAACCAAAAAAAAAATCCTAACGAAACAAAAGCAAATGAAGTTTCTGGGAAGTATGTCGTAATTCAAGGAAGCGTTAAAATAATAATGTTTCAGAAACGGTTACAATCGGCAAATGTCCAAAATCCGACGCAAAACAACAAAAAACGGATTCACATTTCTCCAAAACAAAAACCATGAAAATGATTCATGAATCCCCGTTGAGAAGATCAATCAAAATTCAATCGAAAAACAACAAGAGAGAGAGAGAGAGCCAGAATTCCAAAATTCGATGGAGATTATGCGAGAGAAGAGAAGAGAATCACGTCGATTCAAAAAATCTCACCAGAGAAGAAAACAGGGGAAGAGCACGAGGATCGGTGAGTGGGAAGAGCG